CTAGTATCAGATTCCAAGGGTCACCTATATGGCAGGGTCCCAGACTCCTGCAGGGACACGGGAACAGGGCAGTGCAGACAGGAACGTGGGGAAAGAAAAGCCTATTCTAGAGCAAGGCTGATCCTGGACACAGGAATCTACACATTTTATGAACCATATTCCTGATCAGCTTGTGCACTTACTGCTCTAGCACCATAGGATGATGGGAGGCTCTGGCCCCCTATTTGTCAAGTGAGTTTTACATAAGTTCTGTTCCCGGGGCATGTGGAGGAGGTGGGCAAGGGGGGCAAAGATGTGCAAACACACTCCCTGGTCTTATGGACTCCAGAACCAGCGGCGTTCTCTGTAGATACCATAAAACCAGAGAAGCTTCCGAAGTTGGAGATGGCATTTTCTTCATCAATCTCGGACATAGTATTACTCTTAGGCATGCCACACATAAGCAAAATGTCAACGAGGCAAAAGTGAGTCGCTGTTCACCATTTAACAAATATTAACCGTGTGCAGCTGGAAGAAGGCAATTTAAAGGAGAGCCATAGGCATGTTACAGACCAAAGGACTCCTGAGGACTCAGGAAGACTCTCGGAAAGCATCCAGACTACAGTTGCCTCTTCTTGCCAAAAGCCAGTAAAAGCTATAAAAATCTCTTCCACCCCAGCAGCATGGAGCGTCCCGGGCAGCCATAACAGATGCAGCTGGCGTACCTGCATCGCTGGAGAAACAGCAGGTCTCCAAGAAATGTCTGTATCTGCATAAGTTTATCAACACCAAGTGAGGAGAGAAATAGCTCGAGCTACAGAAATACAGGTGAAAAAATACTGGACTTTAAGAGCCCAGATGAGAGGAAATGTGAACAGAGACTGGAAACCTCTGCAACCTGTATGTGTCCTCATAACACAAACAGCAGATGACACACACCCAGGATGACGACAGAGAAATAAGACCAGAATCAGGAGAAAGCCAGTTCTCGGGGTCCCATCTGGCCCAGGTGATGAGGGTTAGGAGCTAATTCCTGAGCCACAGTCGCATCTCTAGAGGGAACAGCATAGATTGGAGAGAACATATTGTATTGGCGAAGGAACCCCTATCCAAATTAGGAGAAATACCTGAATTAAACTAGTAAGAAGAGGGGAGACTTTGCAAGTTGAGGAGACTTTTGTTTGGAGAGATAGTCAAAACAGGAAGAAGCAGCCAGCGGAACCACACACTGCTTTGCATTCTTCCTACCACAAGAGGAGAGGGAAGCCAAGAATACAGTTGGAGTTTGACCAAGCAGAGTGGAAATTTTGGTAGAGACTAGCTTGAGCATGGAGGACTCGGGTTGCCATGGCAATGAGAACCTTCCTGCCCCTTTTACAATAATGCATTATAAGGAGAAAGCTGCATGCAAATGAAGTTAAGAGTAATCAGTGGCAGGGCACCACAAGGTCACGGGAGGCATTTAGGAAGAGTCTGTGCAGCAGATAAGCGATGCAAACACAGAAAAGCACTTAAGTTGTATATGAAAAGGTTAGGCTGAGTCCACATGCTTGCCAGAGCTTCTATGTACAGAGTAAACTTGAAGGCTCTCCTACTGGTCTGGGCATAATTGGCGCCAATAAATCTCCCATATTTGTTGCTGCCAGTGAATAGAAGAGGTGCTGGACCAGGAACTAGGGGCTCCCCTTTTCCTTGTGGCCGGTATGAGGAAATAGCAGCTGGATGCATTGAGCCTTCCTAGAATGGGTGGCAGAAAAGAGACATCAAGCTACATTTGTCCCTTATGGTGATGGTGGTGGTGATAATGGCACAGTGAGCGATTTCTGGATCTGTAGAAACATACATATATAGACATGTATTTATACTAAGTTGACGAGTTGTTCATTGTTCATTCCATGGTGTGCAACCAGTTCTAATACATATGCAAAATGTTGTCATTACAAAGCTCTGAGTTTATATTAAAAGAAGAAAACTACGCAGGTAGTGTTGACATGGACTACCAGAATCTGCGATTTTCAGCCAAGATCCCAGGCATCTCTCATCTCACACTTTCTTTCAATGGGCAAGAGCTCACTGAAAGGATTGGTAGGTAAATTAGCCTGTACTCTTTAAGTCATTTTTCTCCCACTCCCTGACCCTCTTTCCTGTCCAAGCTGAATAGATGAATTTGGGGAAATTAAAAGCTTGCATGATATAAATTAAAAGCCCTGTGCCCACCACTAGGAAGGGTCCAGTACGCTGAACCTGCTGCCCCAGGAGCAGACAACCTAACTCCAGAGCGTGTGTCTGCTCCTAGCAGAGAGCACCTCCTGGGGCTGCTTCACACCCCAGTTCCCTGCTCAGATGAAGCCCAGCCTTTGCTGGTCCTCTCTTCCCAGGGAGCCGGACTTGGTCCTTGTGCCACTGGCTGAAAACAGGAGCCCTTTCCATCCAACTTCTCCTGAATCGAGGCGTAGTCATCCACCTCACTATGGCCATCGCCTCTGCTGTGGACTCCTGGCTCCGTGCCCTGCCCCTAGATCCAAGGCTTTGGAAAGTGATGTCATCTCAAAGTGGACATGAGGTCATTCTGCCCATGAGCAGCCAGCAGCTTTTTGGAAACCAGCCCTACAGCTCAACTAGCTCCCTCGACACTGGATCTACTCACGGGGTAGCAGGAGGCATTCAGTACAATGAAATTCAATGGCTGGGAGCCCATGAGTGACAGGTTTCAGAGGATCTGCAGCTTGACCTCCTTCTCCCCACTTCCTTGGTGGCACAAAACTATAGACGAGAGCAGGGTTAGTCAGTCTGTGTGACCTCCATACATATGTTGGGTAGATAACTAGGGAGAAATGGAAATGTGAAGACAGCACCATGAGAACAGGGATCATGGTACTCGTTTTCTCCGTTTTCCTAATTCCTCGCATTGTGCTTGCAATGTAGTAGATGCTCACTTAATATGTGTTTAATGAATGAACAAAGAAACTAACAGAAGTGATGAGTGTTTCTTCATCTGTGTTCCTGCCTGTCTCAATATCCTCTGAGCTTGGCTCTGGAGGACCAACAGGTCACGCCTGTATCTCCAAAAGCAACACTTCTCCTTTCAGGCTTTCCATGCATTTATCACATCACTTAGGTGAGTCTACACGTATAATTGGATTACATCACTCCCAAAGCCCCGCAAATGACACCCGCCACTGTGGGGCCAGTGCTGTCATTCCCAGAGGCGCCTGGCTGATCTGAGTGACATGGCCTCAAGACATCCTTCACATCTCCAATGAGGAGTGACAGCACTCATCCATCTTGCCTTCCTCCCCTCCTGCCTGCCACCCCACCACAGCTGGCGAGAATCCCAGAGTGTCCTCAAGGTCTTTCTAGGTCACACGTAACCCCTGAGCTTGCTGGGCATAAGCTGGTCCCGGGGACTTCTTCACTGTCCTTTCGACCTCTAGCTCAACAGCCTGTGACTCCTTTCTGCCAGCTCCATCCTGCCTTGCTCAGCCTGTATGGGGCTGGATCCAGGTGAGTGATGGACATTCACTAAGCACCTACTTTACAGGCTTTACGCAAACCCCGGCTCCTTGGGCACTACAATCTGGTGGAGTCTCTCCTGAGATTGAACATTTCCTTTCCCTCCAGTACAGATTATGCCCAGAGCACCTTCTAAAGGGGCTTTGCATAAGCCACACTCTGCCCCACCTAAAACATTCTATGCAATGAAACTAGGTTAAAGGAAACAGAGGGCACCTTAGGGTAAAGGCAGCTGTGGGAATGCAGGTAAGAGGAATGAGCGTTCCAAAGGTATCTGACTGCGGGTGGGCTGCTGGCTGCATATGAGGGTACAGACCTTTGTAAGCACCTACTCACAAAGGCAACTTGCCCAAATGGCTTTGCCCACCCAGGCTCCTCGGGCATCAAATCGCACCCACCCCGGACCCTGTCTTACTTTATTTTTAAAAAAATATATTTTATTGATTTTTTACAGAGAGGAAGGGAGAAGGATAGAGAGTTAGAAACATCAATGAGAGAGAAACATTGATCAGCTGCCTCCTGAAGACCCCCTACTGGGGATGTGCCTGGAACCAAGGTACATGCCCTTGACCGGAATCAAACCCGGGACCCTTCAGTCTGCAGGCCGACGCTCTATCCACTGAGCCAAACCTGCTAGGGCTCCCTGTCTTACTTTAGAACTCAGACCTGCACCACGCCTTTCAGTGGTCACCTGCCTACCTTCTGGCCCCATGCAGGAATCCTAACATCCCCGACAGCCAGTCAGTTGTCTTGTGTGCCCACTCAGAACCTTTCCAACATGTCCGATCATATGAATCATGAGGGGCACTTGTAAAAAGCTCACCAACTATTCACACCGTGCATAGAAAGGGCCTGCGCATCTGAATATTTCACCAGCATCCCTAGTGAGTCTTACCGTGAGTCTTACAATTAAGTACGTTTCTTATGTGCCTATAATGCAGCGGTTCTTGACAGTGGTTGAATGTTAGAATCAGCTAGGAAGCTTTAGAAAAAAAAATCAATGACAGGCCTTTCCCCCTAGCTATTCTTATTTAATTTGTCTGGAGTGGAGCCCAGGGGGTGTAAATTTTTAAAGCCAAAGTGCAGCCAGGGTTAAGAACTATGGCAATATCTTTCCAGACCAATGGTAAGTTCTTGTAAGTTCTTGGAAGACAGTAACCAAGAAATATGTACCCCTTACCGAACCCCACCACCACATCAAACCTGTTACAGAACATACTCCATAACTGCTGAGTTGATCTGACTTAACTAGCTGTTCATCCATCCAATACGCGTTGTAATTTCCTGTATTAAGAAGCTGTGTACTTTCACTTAGCAAGTGGCCAGAAAATGGAGGCTAAGATTTCCCATGATTGAGTACACACACACACACACACACACACACACACACACAGGCACACATGCAGGCACATCCCCAACCATCCCTTTCCCCAGACGAACCAGCCCAATGCAGAAGCCTCACGCCCCAATTCTGTCCTCTGCCCCCGCCCCTCGCCAGCTCTACTCACATTGTACAGCACGGTGGTCCACCCTTCCATGGTGATGCACTGGAAGACAGTCAGCACAGCAAAGAGGATGTTATCAAACTGGGTGATCCCGTCGTTGGGGCCGATCCAGTCCCTGCATTCATAACCAGCTGGGCAGCCCTGCACGCCACACGGGTGAGGGGGGTCAAATCCTTCTAGAATACCTGCACACACATGTGGAGGGAGGGGAATAAACCACATGGTGTTTAGCATGAGCTGGAAATGACTTCAGGAAGCCACAAGCATGCAACTCGATTTCCCACAGAAAGGTGTGTCCTTCGTTGTCTCAGGCTCCCTCCCATCTCTGGCCTCTCTACACATCACGCTCCGCATACCACGTGTTCAACCCAGTGTTTCTCAACCTCCTCTGAAAATGGAGTCATTCCTGCTCATGGCCCACCTACTCTCCACGGGCCACAGCCTCTACCGTCACCTGCGTACCAGAAATTTACAGGACGGGGTCACACAGAAAGGTCTGAGGTGAAGGCAGAATCTCACTGATTTTCTAAACCTCAGACACTAGGATAGATCCTGAGTTCTTTCTGGGCCTCTTGGGGACCATCATAAGCTACAGTCCCCTTGGTGAGTCTTAACTCTTTTTATTTTTCTGGCCTAAATTCCTGGTCTTGAATAAACACAAAAATCAGAAATCAAAATCCAAGTGTAAGGTGTCCTTTAAAGATTCTGTTCATAAAAAAAGAACACAGTACCTAATTGGGCTCCTTCAACCTCTCCCCATCCTCTTTCCTCCTAGGGCACGCTACTCAACTTGCCAAGAACAATGAGATATAAAGAGGTAAGAATTTGGAGTCTGGGTACCCCCCAGCCCCCAAGGCCCCCTGCCAAGCCAAGCTCAGAGCTGCCTCCGTCCCTCCACACTGTGTGTGGGTCACAGCAGAGAGGGAGGAAGGTCATGAGATGGACCACGAAGGAAACACGTCTCCATGGAACTCCTACGTCTCCCTGGCCTGTGGGTTGAAGAGGCCACTGTACACAGGGTCTTTCTTCAGACAGACAGTTTCTGACAGCCTCCCGATAGCCTTCTACCATGCATGGGGAGCTGAGACCTCCTGTTTGACCTCCTCCAACTGTAAACCTAGGAGGTTATTAGCTTTGCAATTTCAACAGGGATGTTTAGTCTGGGCTGGTTGGGCCTCAAAAGATCTGCTGACTAGGAAGTTTCTGGTTCTCTTTGTAGGGTTGGAATAGAACATACTTTTCCAAGCTGTCTCTCATTAAGGCCCTGAAATGACCAGTGACCCGAGGGGAGAAGAAGGGAAGAAGCAGGAGACAGTCTGGGAGCGCACCTGAATTGTTCATGAAGCATGCGCGGTGCAGCTTCCCGCTGTAGAACTCCAAGCCGATGATAGCGAACATCAGGATGGCGAAGAAGAGCAGGAGGCCGATCTGCAGAAGGGGCACCATGGCTTTCATGATGGACTTCAACACGATCTGCAGGCCTGGAAGGAAGGGAAGAGGATGACAAACGGAGCCTCACTTGGCACCCCTGCCAGCGTGGGCTCAGTCTCCCCTCTCCCAGGAGGAGGGCAAGTGGTGCAGGGAAAAGAACCATTGGTCCTGAAATGGCAAAGACCGTCTGCAAAGGGATAACCAGGACAAGTCAAGTCAAAGCTGCCATCCCGACTTCCCCCATGGATCAGTCCCTTCCGTCTCCTCACCCTGACCTTCTTCATTTATTCCACCCGTGTTGTCTTTCAGGCTCCTCTTGTAGGTTACACTCATTACAATGAGCCTGTGGGTCCTCGCCCTGCTGGGCTGTGAGTCTTGTGAGAGCAAGGTCAGAGTTCATCTTCCCCAACCTCCTATCTCAACCCCGGCCATCCCAGTCGCTGCTGTGAGAGCAGACTTAGTGTAACCAGTATTCATAAAATATCTCTGACCCGGAAATTGTACTTCTAGGATTCTAGCCTAAGAAAATAACCAGAGATGTGAATAAGATCGAAGCAAAAAGATGTTTGCCCCAGCACTATTCCCAGTTGGGAGGAAAAACTGCAAATAGCCTAAATATCCAGCAACACAGCAATGGCTAAACAAGTCATGACCCCTATGACAGACTATAACACGGGTTTTAAAATTATATTTTGGAAGAATTTTTAATGTCAGGAAAATTGAATACTTATGGCAGGATCTAAAACTATATGTACAGAATGATCACAACTATATTTAAAATGTACAGAAAAACATATACAGAAATGTTAAAAGTTCTTTCTGGCCCTGGATGGTGTGCTCAGTGGTTAGAACATCAGCCCTCACACCCAAGGGTCTGGGGTTTGATTCCCAGTTAAGGGCATGTATCTGGGTTGCAGGTTCGATTCCTAGCCCCAGTCAGGGTGTGTGTGGGAGGCAACCAATGGATGTTTTTTTTTCTCTCTCTCTCTCCCTTGCCTCCTTCCCTCCCTTCCACTCTCTCTCTAAAAAAAAAATAAGTCAATGGAAAAAAATATCCTCAGGAGAGGATTAACACAAAAGAAAAAGTTATTTCTGATAAGATAATGGGTGCTTTTCATTTTCATGTTACATCACTTCATGTATTTTCCCAAGTTTCTATAAAGATCTTTCATTATGTTTAAATCTGAAAAAAAAAGCTGCTAAGTTTCAAAAAGAAATGTTATATCCGGTTGTTGCATCCACACTGTTTATTACCAGGGGAGCTAACTCCCAGGAGACACTGTCTCTTATTTACCCCACATTCTCTTAGACGCGGATCAGATGAGGACATGTCAGGGAGTCTATTAGCAGAGTAGAAGGAAGAAAGATGGTGCTTACTGGGTATCCCTGACACAAGCTTCAGGGGCCTTAGGACACGCACGGCCCGGAGGGTCCTCAGGTCCACATGTGTGTTGAAGTGGGTCCCCGCAGTGGCCAGGATGCTGCAGACGGAGACACAGAGGGTCAAGGTTAGCAGGGTCTGGCTCTCTTCCCTGTCCCAGGGGAGAAGCTGTGGTAAAGAAGGATCAGGCGGGAAAGCACACTGAGCTGACGCCAGCTGTGTGTGGGCGCACCTGTGCTGGGGTGAATCACCAGTGGTTCCAAGTGGAATTAAATTTAGCCCCATGGATTTCACTTTGCAAAGAAGGAAAACGTATCATCAGGTCAGAATCCTAGTTCCAAATCATGATCTCCAAATCAAGGTCTCTAGCTCCTGCCCCATGCCTGTTCCCTGCACTGCTCTCTGCTCCTTGCAAATCTCCTTCCCCGCTTTCCAACCCACCAAAGCCCTCACATTTTTTATTTCAAAATTTTCTTAGACTCCCCTGTCTCCTATCTCCTTTAGAAAATTCCCCTGGATTAAGTACAATAAAGGAGTAACTCACCCTTCTCCATCTTGACACTTAAATTTAGACAAATCAGTCACACGGATGGGATGCTTATAATTAAGGAATAACTCTACTGGTCCCCATATGGCATATTTATACTTGTCCAGAATCACTGTGTAACCTGGGTTTGGTTTCTTTGCTTCCATTTTTCCACATTCCAAAGCCATAGCCAGAAAGAAGTGCGTGTGCACACACACACACACACACACACACACACACTATAAAAATCCTATTAAATTGTAGACACCAAGTTCCTTGTCTTGAGGAGACAATTTATTTCATATAACCTCATGACACTGCAGATACTTTGGAGAGACAAAGACACTTAAGTATTAATGGAAAACTCAGCAAAAGGCCCAGAGTCAAGAGAACTGGGTATTAAGTCCTGAACTGGGCAACTTTAGGCAAGTCACTCAACCTCGATGAGGCTCACTAGCCTCATCTACAGGACAGGGGAGTATCAAGGCCTAGGTATAAAAATAAAATAACAGGGTATTGAATATCAAGAGAGACCTGTACACTATAATATGCAAAACAGACATTGCATCCAACACAAACATTAATGAAATTGGTTTTGCAACTCTAATTTTAGCCTTCTCTCTGTGGGATAGTCCCTGACCTCCCTCAGAACCACTCTAGGACAATTTCAGCTATCTGGAACCGTTGGGGGATGAGTCATTTAGAAAAGTGAATTATCTACATAGTCAAAGGGTGCCAAGAATACTTCATTCCACGTAATTATTTTTGGTAGAACCCTCTGAAATATTTCAAGTATTGAAGAAGATACTTGAAGTGCCTTCAGTACTTGAAAGAGAATGTGAATGAAAGGCTTATGCTATATAGTATCTCTAAGAAGCAGATAGAGAGTCCACAGGAACAAAGCACAGAGATCCAGGACATCAGAACCCTGAACAATAACTTTGAAACAGGAAGAGCTGCCCAGCACCAAAGCAGTCTGCTTCCTAACATTAAAAGTACTCAACTATCTATTAGGAAGTTAAGAGGGTTCCCACTTGGGTTGAAGAATATTTTAAAGGACCAATGGAGATCTCTTTGAACTTTGAGATTCTGTAATTCTATACTAATCCAACCTCAAAATAAGAACCAGAAAGAAATCCTACTCTCATTAAGGATCTCGGGAGTAAGGCAAGGCTCCCAAGTCGTCTCCATGTCTCCCAAACTTCCACGCCCTCGTCTGAGAAGGAGGGACTCAGGGAGCGGAGTCTCTGACTGTTTTTGATTCTGTCTTCCAAGGCCAAAGAGGGGGGTTAAGTGGGGGAGTGATATAATTTCTAATAAGTAAGGAAATTCTGAAGAGATGAGAGATCAAAGAGAAACATGGAAAACAGGACAGAATTTTTTTTTTAAAGGAAAGAGGTAAAGAGAAACTTCAAAGATAGGTGGAGATAGGAAACTGGAGAGGCAGAAATGGGGTCATTGTTCAGCTGATTCTGCTAAAAGGGGAAGGAGCCTTGAACTTGGGGTCTCTGAGGTGCACATGGAGCCTCTCCTTCACTCTAGTTTACTCCGTCTTAGTTCGCTCCTGGGTAGAATCTGCCCAGGTCAGGATCCAGAGTTCTGTTTCCTGGGACACCCAGACACACAGGAAATGCTCTTTCACGGCATAAAAAGGGCTGTGGCACATGAAAATGTCCTCCCCAGCCCTTGAGTTGAACAAGATACATTTCAGAACACGGAGGTAGGGGCAGAAAGACAAAATTAAAAGGCAAAAAGGCACAAGTGTAGAGAGAGGGGGAAATGATAGAGGGAGAGGAGAAAGAAAGGAGAGGAAATTGAGCAGTGAAAGAAAACATGGAAATGGAAACAAGATAGAAAATAAAAAGAAATCAAAGCTGGTGGAGAAGCAAATGTCAGAGATAAGAAAGCTCACGCGGGAAAGAGAATAAGAGTAAATAAAGCTAACCTACAGAGAGAAGAGGAAATATGGTATCTGTCTGGAGGCCTCGGGTAGCCAGCCAGGAGATAAGTTCTTTTCATTAAGTGCAGCCCTCGGCTGAACTACCTGCTCCCCAAGTCCTCCGAGTCCCACTTCAGCCAGGGCCATGTAGCCTGTGGCCCGTCTCCCCTGGCCCTTACACTTGATTTTCTTCCAGTGCAGGAGGGCTGTCTGCTAGGCTGAGGCAGTCTGGCCACTCGCTGCTCCCTACCTCCCAGTGTTCAAATCATCCTTGAGGGTGAGAACTACGATTTGGTTCCCCTGTCCGTCTGTTAGAAGCGGGAGCCATGGGATTCTTAGGGGGAGAAGATAATTGAGGAAAAGGACCCTGACTCTTTGGGTCCATAAATTTCTGTGCCCACTGCCATCGTGGTCCTTACCGACTGAGAGAGAAATTCTTTGTTTCCACATCTGTCTTCCCCATGAGACTGGAAGCACCTCAAGCAAAGAGACTGTCTTCCTCATCTCGATGTCCCCCACACCCAGCCCAGAGTGTGGCAAGTACGAGGCTCAAGGGATGACTGAGCAATTGGACTGCACCGATCAAAGTACTAAAGGCACACAATACCACAGAAATCCCGGAACTTGCCAATGAGAGGAGCGGGGAGCACAGTTGGGATGCTATTCGAACATAGATCTGTTTGGTCATGCAGGAGTGTGCTGGAAATCTGTCCTTGTGCATTTTAGGGCCTAATGATCACGGCCCAACATAGTCCTAAGACCCCTGCCGCCAAGCAGATGCACAGGATGGGCTCCGCCCATAGTCAGTGGAGAGTTAGAGAGAGAAATTGTTTATAAACAGCAAGACCAGGGGAGAGCAGGAGGAAGACGCAAGATGTAAAGGCTCGTCATCTTCAGGCAAAACCCAAGTCCTGAAGTGCATACAGCACAGGACGCCTCCGGGCCTCAGAAGTAGCAGGCCCTAGGCATGCGCCAAGGGAATGTGAACGGCAGGAAACGGCCCTGGCCCCGTCTAGTGGAAGTAGGCAGACACAGAAATGAAATAATTATAATTCACCATGAAGAGTGTCATAACAGAGGAGTTTCCAAGGCCCTATGAGCACGGGAAATGCTGCAGTGACAGACACAGTACTATCTGCTAGCACTTTCAAATATTTTATCCCATGAAATCCTCAAAAATATCCTCATATTACAATTGCCTCCATTTCATAGAAGAGGAAACTGAAGCTCAGAAAAGGTGACATTGTTTATAAACAGCAAGGCCAGGAGTTAAAGTGAGTTCTCTCTTGATATCAAAGCCCATCTCTTTCGGGCTCTGCCATGATGCCTTGTGAGGTCTTCTCAGCACTGGACAGCTCCCCTGATTCCTCGTCCAGCGTGTTTCCCAAATAATACCAAGGGCACAGTGTTTGGCCCCCAAATAAGCCATGAACTTGGTTCCCTTCACTGCAAGGCCCCAAGCCAGGACCTCCCTTTCCCCCTCCAGACGTGCCACGAATCACTCTCAAGACAGGAGGGTGGGGGGCTCCATGCACCTCGGGTGACGACTATGGCAATTATCTACACATACACCCAGGAAGAGACACGAGCCACACAAAGTCAGAGTGAGGCCACGGAGGATAACTCCAATTCTGAGTTAATAAAAGCCTAAGCTCTCTGCCATCCCAACAGGCACATGTGAGGCTGTGTTTTCCATTTCTTTTGTCACCACGAGCACAGAGCCTGGTGGAGAGCTCTGTACACAGGAGTGGGTGCTTAATTACTACTTTACCCCCCAAAGCAGAGGATAGATGGAGAACAAACATGAACCTCTAACCACCACCAGCACAGACGCAGTGTTCTGCACACGGTAAATGTTCAAAAGCGGCTTCCTGAAGGATGTGGTGGCTCAGCCCTACCTCCAAGGACTTTGCTTTTAGTCGTCAGCAGGTAGAAGAGAATGGCGGCTGCTGTGATCCTGAGGGTGCGGCATGACCATCACTATTGTGGCCTGGCAGGGCAGACGATGGCAGGGAGGCTCTGGGCAATTACAATCAAATGGTCTCCCCCCAAGACCGTCACCCAAAGAATTCTTCAACCCTGCGATCCTTTTGACCTTGGGTTCTGTCTTAGCCACCTTGTCAATCCAGGTCTAACAGTCTTTTTGCCACAGGCATATTTCACTGTACAAGTCCATGGCCGAAAATACCCTGAAGCATTATACAAACATTACACTACAATTATCCATTGTTTATCTGAAATTCAAATGTAACTAGGCATCCTGTATGTTTATTTAAATCTGGCAACTCTATTTAAGGGATGAGCAGGAACGACCAGGTAAAGAGCTTCCCCCTCAGTTGTTACTCCCGCCCTAAACACATGGGCAAGTCTCTGAGCAGAGACACAACCACAGGTCTGCTAACGTTAGGTCCAGGATTCCCTCCTGAGCCCCACAACAACCCGTTTTGTCTCTGTCCATACAGACTGCAAGGGAGAAAGAACCTCATTAGCATTCAAAAGACAAGTTGCTGGCATCTGTGGAGAAGGGTTGATTAACACCAGCCAATTTCCAACACAGAGTTGAGTCATTTCCATGGGTCAACATAAGGGAGTTGCTGTGTCCACTTAAAAGTGCCCCATAGATGGTTGGTTCCTT